AAAAAAAAAAAAAAAAAAGGTGTTATGATCACCTTTAGAAAACCAAGCGATGCGACTGCCGACTTTCTGAAAGGAAACATAAGATGTGGTTTGTAAGCAAATGGAAAAGTATGTGGTGAGAGGCGGGGCCTCAGCTTGTCTTTTGTAGCATCGGAGGCGTCTCTCAGCCAATCGGAGGCGTCTCTGCAGCCGGGTTCCTCCCCCGGGAGCAGCTGCACATGGATACTTTTTTGATACTTTGTATTTATGGAGCCTGTTTGGGGCCGAGGGTCTCACTGGCATTAACCCTTCGCGGTGGTATTAAATTTGGACATGGGTGTGTACTGGTCGGAATTAATTTCCATTGAAAGAGCAGTGATACGTAACATGCAAGGTTATGAAGGATAAACAAGAGAAATTATGAACTGATACATGAATGAATAGAGTTAAGATTCGTCCGGCTCCTGGCTGTGATGGCTGAGAGCAGACATACGATGGGAAGGGTAGAAAAGCTTTGGTGGCTGAGAGCAGACAAACGACTGCAGAGAGTTAAATAATGATTTAACCTGACGCTCAACAAATCGGCCCCTAAGGTGCAGCCGGGAGCCTCCGCGCTGGGATCGGGGCCTGTCACCCCGCACCGTAGGGACAACCCATGGGACCTCTCCAGGCTCAGTTTTCGCGTCCGTAGAATGGACGCTTTTAACCGGCACCGACACGGAGATGCTGTTGCAGACGCTGAGCCAGCTGAGGGGTGGAAATCGACGTGAGCCGTGAGCGGCACGCTACTCAGAGGCGAAAGCCAAGGTTGTCGTTTCATTTTGCCGGGCGGGCTCCGGAGAGAAGCAAATCCCTGCAGTCTTCTCGGCAGCATCGAATTAGCTACTGGAAGAGAGTCAGTTGCCTCCGGGAAGCAGGTGCCGATGGCACCGAGTCAGGGTGTCTCCCGGCACCCGGGGGCCAAGCAGCGAACGCCAGCCTCTGCTCCGGGACTGTTTCCAGGGGCCTAAGCCACCCGCCGACCCCCCCCCC